TTTTTTTCTTCGAGGAATTTGAATTAGTTCAGTCAAATGAGACTTCTCAATAATTTCTGAGATAGGAAGCTTTATATTCTGCAGTTACTGATGGGATGTTTTACTGAGGCAGGTTATTCTGCTCTTCTCATTCCTCTTTCTTGTTAAAAGGATGAAAGAAGGCTAACCAGAAAATTAAATAATTAGAATCCTTTATTCCCCTCTTAATGTCTCAAAACAGAGCATTTAGAAGTACATTAGTTGCCAAGGAAAATATATTGGTCTATAGCCTTATCTCCGTATATTTTCAGTGTTGAAATTATTGAACTGTATTATTCACAAATCAAAGCTCATTGCTTTTGGATAATTTATGCCTTGTAAGCAGTACAGTAACCACTGCAATACTTCTGTCCTAAGAAGTGTGCCTAGTATTATTTGCAAATACATACTGCTTGCATTTTGGCAGGCTAGGTAAATGCATTTCCAAAGCTTACCATCCTGCCCCGGAGTATCTGACTTAATAAGGACCTTGTAGCTGAGTTAGAAAATGATCTCTTGAATGGAAAAGACATGTTAGAATTCACCTCCTGGGGCATTGCTTCAGGGCAGTGTTCCCTCTTTGTGTGGACAGACATACCCTTTTGCTCTCTGCCTGCAGAGTGGCAGCACCTGGAGATTTCAGTGGGAAAAGTCACAAAGTGTGATGCCAACAATTTTACAAGATTACTACATAATCTTGTAAATACAATAGACTCAAATCATAAGCAGAAACGGTTTTGCATGGTAGATTGCAAGTGTCATTAAGTATAGCCTGTTCTTGGGGTGTGGTAGATAACAATGCTCCAGCTGTTGGTTCAAGGGTAGAGTGCCCATGGGCTTTGTTATGTTACCTCACAAGGATGTGAAGCATTTGACACAGTCACACAGATTGTTCTATTGAATCAGCAAATCATAGCACCTCTGTAGTATAATGAAACTTATGCTTATGTACTCTTTTGAATAGTTGCTACTTGTTGCCCATGGATATCATATTGACCTTTCAAGTGTTCATCCAATGTTTTATATACCTCATGCTGCTATGTGTGTGTATATTTCTAATTTACTAAATTCTGTCTCTAAACCTAATTAATACTGTAAACAAAGCTTCTCATGTCAAGATTTTAACTGTAAATGTATATAGAAAGGTACTGTTTACGCCAGTATGAGTTATAGAGGTTTTGGGGTTTTTTTTCTCCTTTTGAAATATTAAAGGAGAGTGAAATAGATTGAATTCTACCTTATACAGTTTGAAATAAATAGTTCATTACTTTGAATCAAGGATTTGTTATTCTGGATGATGCACAAATTAGAAGATATTTCATAATGTACTTTTATTTATGTATTTGTAAATTGAGTTAATGAGAAGAAAATATTTAGAGGGACAAAGCAATTCCATTGTGCCATTTCTTTCCAGGGTGAAATTGTATCTAAGAACCTAAGGTGATTTCCTCACCCCCAGGGCATTGTTTTAAGTGAGATTGTCAGCTACACATAGGACAGCTCTGATTGCTTTATGTGTATTTACTTAAGGTGCATGTTTGGTTTTAGGTTCACCAAAAATCTGTCACCTGACAAGATCAACCTGAGCACACTAAAGGGGGAAGGTCAGCTGACCAATTTGGAGCTGGATCAAGAGGTGCTTCAGAACATGCTGGATCTTCCAACATGGCTGGCTATAAACAAGGTGTTTTGCAATAAAGCATCCATTAGGGTGAGTATTTGATTGTGCTGGAATGGTAATTAACCAAATCTTTCCTCTTTTCCTTCTGTCTCTGTAAACGTTCAAGCAACCCTGTATTAATAAAATGTGATAAGTGTTTGATAAAATTCTAGAGAAAAACAAAGATGTTACTAGCAATAATTTCTTATTTTTGTTTCTCATGTTTCTCATGAAATACATACGGAAATGATGAAAAGAGGCAGTGATTTTTTTAATTTTATTTTTTCTTTCTGAGTAGAATTTATTCCTGTGTGTTATGAAAATGGAGTAGAGGTAAAAGCTTTATTTGCCCTTGATAATTAGTCTATTGTACTTATTTATTATTCTCTTTTTCATGTGTTCTGTCTTCTCTTTATTCCTCTCCTTCTATTGCTTTCCCTCTTGTTCTGTTCCTGTTTCCAAAAATACCTTTCTGAGGGATTCCAGCCTCTGTGGGAAATGTGGAAACACTAAATCTAGTAGACATTGGTTTTTGGGTCAGTGTGGCTGCAAAGAATTGACACGATGTGTATCATCTCTGCCACCTTATACCAATGCGGGTCTAAGAAAGGAAGCTACAGCTTGTTCCTGGCAGATACTGTGTGGTCAAACATTGGCACCTTCTCAGGCTTTTGATGGGGTTTGTTTCTGGGGTTTTTGGTGCTGGTTTTGTTTGTTTGTTTCCCTTGATGAGAGATTGTCCTGACTTTTCTGAATGCAGTGAACTTGGTGCTTTGTTGCAGGTATCCAATCAGTTGTAGGTCAATAAAGCAAATGCAAGTTTTCTTTCCTTTTAAAGGAAAGAATGTGTAAGGCATTGATGCTTTTTCGGATGCTTGACAACTCAGTATTAAAGGGACAGATTCTATTTTGTTGCTCTGTTTTTCTGCTCAGTGATAAGGTATTATGTGGTATTTTTGGATAAATTCGATCATTTTAAAGTGGAATTATGCTGAGTTCAGAAGTTAGAAATAGAATTTAAATACTTAAAACACTTTCTAAAATGCTTAATTTAACTGCATTTTTAGTACTTTATTTGCTTTAGAATACTGTTTTCTCTTGCAGATACCATGGACAAAATTGAAGACACATCCCATCTCTTTGGTGAGTTCGGAAGTAAACTCCTAAATATATTGTGTAGCAGAATCTATCTCAAATATTACAGAGTTCTCTTGACTCTAGAAATGACTGAAACATTAATGGGCCTTTACAAAGTGTCCTCTGGGTAGCAGCAGATCAAGACAAAATGTCTTAATGTTTTTCTTGGTAGGTTTGTTTTCTTAATCTGTAGCTTTAGGTGTCATCACTATCGCGTTTGACTGTGTCCCAGCCCTAAAAGCAGAGGGGATTTGCCAATTTCTGTTGTTTTCAGTCATTACATGTTAATTTAGGTTCACCCAAAGGGTAGTAATTTGTCCAACTAACCCCTTTTACAAGTTCCTCCCTGTTTTTTGTAGCTCTCTTTTCTAAAAACGTTTCTGTATCTATACTTTATCCGGTGATCTCAGACGAAGCAGATTTAATACACATAGCATTTACAGGGTTTCTGTAGCAGCCTAGGATTCGCCCTAGATATAAATAGGATGTAAAACGTGTAAATAGGACTCAGCCACATTAGAAGTAATGCTAATTCTTGCATTTGTTTAATTTTGCTCTTTACTTTTAAGCATACTAAGAAGTGTGATAGTACCAGAAGTAATTTTCTTGTTGATGACTGAACTTTATTAGTTGTGTTTGCTTAGAAGTGAATATTCCTTTAACTGTCATGTTTCCTGGTCTTGCAGTGAACTTCTGAATGTGCTTGTAATCCCTTAGCTCTGAATCAGACTTGGGAAAGAAATGTTGTTTTAAATACTTGATGCATTTGCTAGTGATCAAGTTGTAATGTCTGTACTGCTTCTTCCTGACACCCAGAGCTTAATGTCTGGTGATGCCAAGGTGGGATGATTCAGCCTCTTGGCTGTATGATGCAACTGCCAAATTAGGAAATCAGTTTAAGCTGTGCTATTCTTAAAGATTACATACTTTGACCTACAGTAGGCTGTGAGGCTGAGATAAGTTTCAAGGTAACCTTTTTTACATAAAGCTTTCCTTGAATAAGTGCATTAAATTGGTAACAAAAGTTCACTCTTCAATGGTAGAATGTACAACATGCTGTTTGATTTTTAAAGGAAAGTGAATTCAGTGGCCTAAGTGTCAAACTTTAGCCCTTCATTGCGTCACTGAACTTCCACTATTTTTTTGGGGGGGATATTTTTGATACTGAGAGTTTAAGTTGGAATAGCATTCTCTGTTTGTATAGCTGAGAAGGTAACTAGAACTCACTTGTCTAGCCAAAGGTCCTTTCACTGAGCTGAGTTGCCCTTTGTGAGAATCTGTTAACATAGTGGCACATACTGTTACCATTGCTCATAATCAGTTTCTGGTTTTAGGTAATAAACAATCTACTTTTGAGGAGTGATTTGGGCCCCGAGGATGCTATGCAGTGGTTTTTACTCTATCAGAGTACAGTAGTTGCCAGTGAGAAAAGACAGATTCCTACATCCAGGCATTCTTTGTTGCCTCCTATATATTACGTAAACTCCTTGAATCACTGTCCTACTGTTCTTTGCACTAGTCACATAGTGAAGGAAATTATTCCAAAGGTCTTAATTCAATAAATCTTTAAAAGAGTGGTCAAATATCCAAAAATACTAGGATAACCAGTAGAAATCTTGGCTTCTCTCCACCATTCTCAAACTAAGGGATTGGGTTTTTCTTGGTTTCCTCTGTTGTTTTTCAAGGCAAGATAATCATTGAGACAGCTGAGAAAGTAATTTTAAAATGTCCAAATTTACACTTAACAGCTAATGCTTCCCTTTAAGCATCAAATGTAGTGAAGTATAAATAAATCCAGACTAGACAATTTATGATTTTCTAGGTAGTATTTGGGTTTTCATGGATAAGAGTAGCACAGAAAATTGTGGAGGAAGCAGATTATGAAGACAGGCACAATTAGCACAATATAATTGATAAAGTCTAGTAGCTAGGGCAGAGTGAATCATGAAAAATCTAACATTGAGCACAAAGGATTTTATCATTGTTTGTTTGACCTAAGAGGGTATATGGAGGAATTCCAAAGGGGTGGTAGAAAATTAGAATTAGAGAGGGACATAAATGCTGTGTTTTGAATGAGCTTCCAAGGGGATGAGGTTTCAGAACTGTAGGCCTTAAATTAAGAGCCTTCCCAGGTTGTATGATAAATTAGGTCACAAATACTGTATTGTAAGTTTGGAGATTCTTGTATTAATTCAATTGTTGGGAATAAGGTTTTGCATTTGGCTTGTTCCATTCTGTTCAACCCGTATTAGTATGCATGGTCCATAATGTGTGTTATGGTTCTGCTATTTAAATTGGGCTTTCAGTTAAAATAGTGTTTAGTTGTCTCATTCCTTAATTCCCAGCATCATGTGTAATGGTTGCTCTTCAGTTACAAAGAATACAATAATAGCATATGATTTTAGTGTAATGCAATATGTTGCAAATCATGCTAGAAATATATCTTTTCAGAAATTATTTGTTTTACTGGATCTACTGAACATTTATATATATATATAAACAAATGTGTATTATATTCAGACTTTGTTTCAAAGATGCAGCACAAAACTTCATTGACTGTCATGAATTTTAGTGACTAGTTTATAATATTTTCCATTTAAATTTTCTGAACCTAGCCATTTAGAAAACTCAGGAAGTATTACATATTTCACTGAAAGAACAGCCATACAGGAATAAAACTCAGATCACTACACCTTAAAGTATGTCCATTTTGAAATAGAATTTTTGCCAATGTGTGTGATGGATAAATAATATTCAGGGATTGAGAATTTTGTAGCACAGTGTTTGTGAAAGCCTGTTAGAATTCACAAATTGTAAACAAAATCTATAAAAAAAATTTTAAAAGATCATTCTGGTATGTTACAAAAGTTTATGGAAAAGTCTGACATGGTAAGTTTCAGAAAAAGCTCTCAAGTGATTTTTATTTTTTTTTTAATTTGTTTGGATTTTTGTTCTGCATATATAGTCTATTTATTTACTTTGTTCCCTGCTAGGTGTCCAATAGTTTTGTTTTGTTTTGTTTTTCAAGTCCTTGGATAAAGTTGTAATGGAAATGAGCACATGTGAAGAGCCACGTGCCCCTAATGGACCCTCTCCCATAGCAACTGCATCTGGACAGAGGTCAGTGATGACACATGTAGCTGATCAAAAAAAGTTTTGAATTACTATGAAACAGTTAGATCGACTACAGATTTCCAGAACGATGTGAGGCTGCAGTTTGCCATTTCCATTTCTCCAAAATTTTATTATATTACTTGTGTGGGAAGTGGTATAGTGATAATGGAACTGTCCAGACCCAAGCCTGGAGAGAATATGTGAACAAGGTATGGAGTTCCCTAGGCATTTTTCAGGTGGGTGCAACTGCTGTGTCAGATATTTATTTATCAAGTTTAATTTATATTAAGTTTTTTAAAAATTAATGATATCTTGCCTTCAGCCTCTTTGGAAAATACATATAATGTTGATGTCGGTTTTAAAAACATTTGTCTTTCATTTGTCTTGCCTTAAAAAGGGTTTTAAGGGCTGTTTGTTAGTGTGGTGTTTTAAAGTTCTGTTTCCTTGATTGTATCAGCAAAGACTTACTGAGAGGTTTCATACACAGTATGTAGCCCAAACCTCAAGTAATTTGGTGAGACAATATAGCATTCCATCAGTGACTTCCACCTCCCCACACCCCCAGTCATTTCGTTTTTATGGACCCCAAACATCTTTCAGTGGGCACAGGGACCCATATGCAGAGAACTGAATTTGATGATACGATTGCTTTTCTTGTTTGAACTTCCATGTAACATGTAGAAGTAGTCCATGGGCCTCTGTGTCTCCTAAGGTACAGCTTGAAAATAATTGCCACGGAGAGCCTGTGTAGGATGAACTTTGTAAAAAGAGAAAAAGAATGACAAACCACTCAAACTGTAATTTTAAAACAAGCAGGGGAAAAAAAGAGAAACAACAAAAGGCAAAAAATTTTGAATGTTAAAAAAATTGCTTAAAATACAATTTGCCATTCACTAATCTAAAACATTCAGAATATATAATATTTTTATGAAAAAATTAATTGCAACTGCTTTATCTATTTTAATACTGGAATGCACAGTGATTTGCTGTAGAAGTGTAACAACCAGTTAGGATGTCTTTCATTTATAGAATGAAACAAAGCAAGTACTTTCTAATATTTTGAATATGTGAAAATTATTATTTTTAACAAACAGAATAGCTTAGCTTGCAGACATAAATACCAGCCAGACTGGAATTGTCACATAATTAAGTTGTCATGAATTACTCCTTATGTATACATAAAGAAGAGTAAGGTTTCTGTGTAATGTAGAATATGTCTGTCTCTATATATATATGTCTGTAATGCATAATTATGTGTGCATAATCTATACTGTTTTTATGTATGTATATTCTGTACTTTTTATACATTTATATATGTATGTATAAAATATTTACCATGGAAGGATTGCATTAACTGTTATACTCCATGTATACTGATCTAGGTCAAATGTATGTTCTTTAATAACTATTTAGAGATTAGGATCATAGGATGGAAATTATGGTATACTAGGTCAAGTCCATTGAGCAGAAGTTGCTAACTGGAGAATATGTTACTAACAGTTTATTTTTAGATCTGTTTCATGATTTATTTCAGCTGCTTATTATGTTTAATTTTTGTGCCTTTTCCCTGGGTGTATATTTAATATGTTGACATTTCACTTTTTAGTGAGTATGGCTTTGCTGAGAAAGTGGTAGAAGGCATTTCGGTTTCTGTGAACTCCATTGTGATAAGGATTGGAGCAAAGGCCTTTAATGCTTCATTTGAACTTTCCCAGCTGAGAATATATAGTGTAAATGCAAACTGGGAACATGCTGACCTCAGATTTACCAGAATACAAGAAGCTCAACGTGGAGAGGTAAGTAATAGCTTTTACTAACTTTTTTCCCTTGCTTTTGTTGTAAAGGAGGAAGTTGAATTGCAACCTAATACAGTGTAGGAAACTATTCCCATTACTGGGAATGGAGACATTCTGTGCTCAGTAATTTCAGCTGTCCTTTGGGAACACAAAGATGTGAAAGTGGTGGATGTGAGTCGGATCAAATGTCACATCTCTAGTGGTGGCCAGAGTGGATGCTTAGGGAAGAACAAAGACCAGGACAAGCATCTTCTCCATTTTGTGTTCTCCAAGCTTGAGACTATTTTAAAATGCAAACTGGGCCAGACTCCAAGAGTAGTGAAAGAAAGATTGATATATTATACATGCAAGGATAAGGTGTTGTGCTGTTTTATTATTATTATTTATCTTATATTGAATTATAATTTCTCTTATTATTTCTCTTATGTGCTTGTTTGCCCAATAAGGTTTTTTTTTAATTAAAGCAGTTTAAAATGAATTTTAATAAAGTTCTTGTGCAAGAATTACATACTTTCGTTGCAATAGCTAAATCATACGTATACAAAAAGTAATAGCAGTAAAATGCATACATTCCTACTGTCTGGGAGAATTTAACATGGAAGTCCTAGGTTGGTGCACACCATTCATTTGCTTTCTCCCAGGTAACCAAAGTAAAATGTATATTGAGTGCAAGGTTGATTGTAAATATTGTATTTGGAGAGACTTATTTTAGCATCTTGCATCTGGCCTTGGATAAATAAGTGTTTCAAGTTTTGCTCATGTTTGCCTATTTAGAGGTAATTATTCTGGAACCAGCATGGTTTACTCAGAGTTAAGGAGTCTGCTAGTTGATTTTTATGTAGGGA